CCTGCTGAGTGTCAATGTTTCTTCAGTAAGGAAGCGACAAGCACTTGCAAAAAGTACATTGAGCTGGGAATGGCTGGAGTAGATTAGGATGAAGTCAAGGGAGCAAACTGTCAGGCTGTGAATTGACCTTTGTAGGCAGTATGTCTGTGAAAAGAACTTTTTTCAGCCTTCTGTCAGAGAAGGATTTTTGTCAAGAGTACAGCATTGCCAGCTGGTGACTGGAGCAGATTAAGGACTGGTGAACTGGCAGCATGGAAAAGACCTGAAAACATCCTCTCTATCCTACCTTAGGAATGTCGAAGACTTGTATAACCAGGAAGCTGGCCGAGGATGTGCTAGCTTAGGCACTCCACAGACATGCCATTGCAAATCCTGTAAGTAGAAGTATGTTTAACGATATCAGATGCTTCTGAAAATGCCACGGTGCTAGTGCCAAGCACAAGAAAGGGGACTTGACCCCGCATCCATGTTTCTTTCCCACTGCAGCGTGTCTTGGAATGAACTGAGAAGGCCAGAAATGGAAAGGGTAGCAAGCAAGTATGACGAAGGGTAGGAAGTTTACTCCTGCCCTAGCCAAAGCCAGGCTTGCAGGTGGAGCCTTTGCCCCAGTATGTCCTGTCTGCTCTCTGTTCTCACACTACAGCAGGAAATACTAGGCAGCTCTAATAGCAGTTGTATCAGGATTATTTTACTGGGCTTGAAAGTTTCATCCTGCATCCCTAAAGAAGTCCTAAGGGCAATTATCAGTGATACATATGGACACCTTTTGCTCTGAGGACCATCTCAGCCATAGCCCAATTCAATCTTCAAACTATCCACTGTGAAGTTTGGTGGAGACAAATGACCATCTGTTTAAAGACCAGGTTCCCTGAGTTACGCACAGGGAATTTTTTCTCGTTTACTGGATTTGCCTTGACTTCCCTGGCACTGAGACTCTTGTACGGTCTTTGCTCTACAACTGTATTCGGATGTGATTGTACAGGATCCTCTGAGACTTGGCCTTGAGATCAGAGCTCTGAGATCGTGGCCCCTGATAGCCATCTTCAATAGGCCTCCTGTGCCCTTGTAATCAGCACGTGGGGATGTGTTT